GGATTGCAGTGTGACCATGACCCATTGGTGGGTGATTTCTCTCATTCTCTCTCTCTGTCTTCTATCTGTCTCTGTCTCCCCATCTCTGGCAATTAAATCAGAACTCTTTTTTTTTTTTTTAACTGTTTTTTTTTTTTTGAGAGGTTTTTGCTATAGGGCATGTGCGCTCGCAAGACAGACAGAGAGAGACAGAGAGACAGAAAGCAGGAAATCACCCCCCAGGGGGGATGGCCACGCCGCAATCCCTTCTCCTCCACTCTCCTCTCGGGATCTTGGGCACGCACGCACACGTGCCCAGCGTGAGTTTAAGCCACCGGGTCCGGGACTCGAACCACAGTCGACTACGTGGGAGTCCAGCGACATAGCCATTACGCTAACTGCTGGTCCCAGAACTCTTGATGTAAATCATAGTCCTACTGCTTCTCGCCTGGAGATTTTGGGCAATCACTAAGCCACTATACGATTCAGTTGCCTCATCCAAAATATGCAAGTGATCATAACATCTAACTTTCAAGGTTGCTTTAAGGATTACATAAATTATGTATAAGAATGTTCCTTGAAAATTATAATATAGTGATTGATCTTTGCTCAGTTCAATAAACATTTCCTTCATAACTAAAAGGGGTGGCCAAGTCAAAGGACTGCAGGGTTCCATGCTTCAGGAAGTGGGGAGATTTTATATCTGGAGAACTAGAAATCATAAGCCTGTAAGAAAAAGATGACTACTGCTCAGCCTCCAGTCTACACTTTGCATCTGGGAAAGACAGCCAGTGATGCCAGATGTTTTGACTTTTTAAGAAACGCTGGCAACCATGATCATTTTTATGCAAAATCTTCTAATTTCTAAATGTTGACAACTAATTCTTTAAAAGTCCTATGTGAGCAAACAAAACAATACTTACCTATTGCCAAATTTGTCCTACAGGTCTCTAGTTTGCATTGTCCATCATACATATATGTTTATATTATATGCAATGCATTGTCCCGGTCCCCTTTAAAGAAAAGATGTGCTGCCCTGGTGGTGGGGATGCTGCCAGCAGGACTCTTTCAGTTAATGCTTCAGCTGCAGAGCTGCCTCACCCAAGGTCACACCCCTTCTGATGGCCCACATTCATTGACTGATGGAGGCAAGTTATAAAGGTCTGGCCATCTCACTCCAATTTAGAACCACCCTAAAAGGGCCATTTTAGCTCCAGAGTTCTTAGTAGTGTCAAATGAGGAAGCTGTTGACTTCTCCCCAGCTCCTGCTTCCTTCTCCTTTCCAAAGGTGATGATGCCAAGGTCACTCCCAAATAAACATCTTATATACTAAACTGTCTTAGAATCGGCTTCTTGGGGACTCTAACATCCAACACGGTTCTTGAACTCTTGAGATAATCTGTATGATGAGCCAGGTAGACATGATTTCAATACCACATGAGAAATACCAGACTAGACATATAAAACAAAAGCTATAGAAGAGAAGAGAGACATTAATTCATCCAAGGAGGCCCAAATTAAATCTTCTTGGAGTGGACAATTTTTTTTTTTAGAGGTTTTTGCTATAGGGTGCGTGTGCTCACCAGACAGACAGAGAGAGACAGAAAGAAATCATCCCCCAGAAGGGATGGTTATGCCGCAATCCCTTCTCCTCCATTCTCCTCTCGGGATCTTGGGCACACACGCACACACGCCCCTGGCGTGAGTTTAAGCCACCAGGTCCGAGACTCGAACTGTGGTCAACTACATGGGAGTCCAGTGACATAGCCATTACGCTAACTGTTGGTCCCTTTTTTAAGGTTTTTAAGCAATAATCACATAAAAAGGCAGATACAGTAAAAAAACAAATAGCAGATTCTATCTCAGATGTGAAGACCCAAGTGTGCAGAGAACCACCATAAATTTCATCAAAACAGAGTTTGTATCTAAGTGGTGAACTAATGTGAGATAAAGTTATTGGGAAAAGTTTTAACTTAAGCACTTGGCCTTGATCCAATAGACAATGAGGGCTAAAGTTTTGATTTTCTCCAAACTCCTTGAACTCTTGTTCTTTCTTTTCAGCTTCTTCCCAAGAAGCTGTACTTGGTCCTTCATGGAGCTTACTGTCACTCAATATTTATGTTTGCAAAATTTCATCTCCTACCATAATTCAAAATCTAGACATGAACGTCCAATTCAACATCTTCATTTGAACAGACAAGCTCAGCAGGTCCAAAATCAAATTCATTACTGTTCTTTCTAAATCCTCTACCCTGGTAAATATTAACACTGTCTACCCATTATTCAAGCCAGAGTCTTGAACATCTGTTTCAATTTCTTTCTGTTCCTCACAAAGTCAATTTTTCAATATTTCCTGTAAAGAATCCCGTCCCAATATATTTTGGATGACTTCATATCCACTGCTACTCGCTTGGTTCAATGGAATCTCTTAACAACTGGCTAATATGCCTCTGTCTTAACTCTTTCAAATCCATTCACCAAATAACTGCAAGGATAATCCTTCCAAAACACAATCTGATCATGCCAAGACTCAATGGAAGGACCCCATAATCTTTCAGTTAAACCCCAAAGTCCTTAACAAAACTCTTTGTTACCTGACCACTGATTTCACATTCTCTACTTCATCTACACTATATTACTTTATTTAATGGTTTTGCTTGGTTTTGTTTTGTTTTCTTTTTTCATCACTAGAGGGTGTGTGTACTTGCCAGATAAAGAAAGAGGGAGAGGGAATCAGCAGTTAGTGTAATGGCTATGTCGCTGGACTCCTACATAGTCAACCGCGGTTCGCGTCCTGGACCCGGTGGCTTAAAACTCACGCCGGGCATGTGTGCATGCGTGCCCAAGATCCCGAGAGGAGAATGGAGAAGGGATTGCGGCATGACCATCCCCCCTGGGGGGTGATTTCTCACTTTCTGTCTCTATGTCTCTGTCTGTCTGGCGAACGCACGCGCCCTATAGCGAAAACCTCTTAAAAAAAAAAAAAAGAAAGAGGGAGAGAACTCAGTGGGGTATGGGCACACGATGATCCTTTTTCCTTCATTCCTCCATCCTATCAGGATTTTACACATACATGCTCATGTGCCCAGGGTGTTTTTCAAGTCACTGGGGCCAGAATTACAACTGTGGTCAGCCAAATGGAATTGGCTGACCAATAAGTTGCACACAGTTTAACCAGTGTGCTATGGGACTAGCAGAACACACAATACTATTTCAAACCTTCTAGTTCTGTGTGCTTTCTCTTGTTTCTAAAACTTGCAGCAGGTTGCATGAAACACGAAACATCTTCCTCTGTTTCTGTTTTCCTCTTTTCTTTTACCTGCTTAACTCCAATTAGCTTCAGGGCTAAACTTCAGTGCTACTTCCTACAGAGAATTTTCTCTGCCACACTACCCCCTACTATAAACCATATGGCTTGATTATATTATTGCACCTATCAATATGTACTTATCTCTGTATCATGAGATTACAACTAGAGGCAGAGAACTTGTCTATTCATTCTCAGATTTCCAATGCTTGTCAAAATAGTTAGCATATGACAGTTCTCAGTAAATATCTTCTAGATAAATAAGTGAATGAAGTATATTTTATTTCTTTTTTAAAGACTTATTTTTATTTAACTTTATTTACCTATTTATTTATTTATTTTAATTTGACCAGAGAGGGACAGAGGGAGAGAGAAAGAGAAAGCAAGTTGCCAGGGCTGGGACTCGAACTGCAGTTCACCACATGGGAGTCCAGCACTCCTAACCACCATGCCACCTGCTTGCCCCAGTATGTTTTAATTCTAACTGCACTCTAAATGCAACATGCGTCACTGTTTTATGAGGTGAAGAAGCAGGTTAGAATGGATAGTAATGACCTAAACCAAAAAAAAAAAAAAAAAAAGAAGCTATATGGAGAAATAGCTTGGATGTAAAATCAGCAGAATTGGTGACTGGATGTTGGGGCTGAGGGCAAAGATTGTGGTAGAGTATGATTCCTGGATTTCTGACTCTGGCACCAAGATGATGACATCTTAACTAAGGCAGAACACAGGAGGAACACAGGTTGGCTAAAAGTCATAAAGATGATGAGTTTTAATGAGTTAATTCAGGGTATGTTGAAGTGAGGTACTTATGGGAGGCCCAGTGGACCTAATTAAACATCCTTAAATGTGACCAGAGAAGGAGTAAAGACCATAAATGAGATGGTCCTGGGAGAAGAGATGAATTAAGAAGGATGTCAAGGGGCTAGCAGATGGCATGGTGATTAAGATGCTGACCTCCCACATGGCTGACTGCAGTTTGAGTCCTGAACCTGGTGG